ATTATCAAGCAAACCCGCAACAAAACAACACGCGCGACTTTTTGCAATTGCTTGCTCAACAAATGAATTCAACTGGCTTCTAGCCGACGGATTATCGAGTAAAACTTTCATAAGTTCTTCTGGGTTTTGCACTTCCAGTTTCTGCCAAAAAACCCCCGTTGAAGGAGCAATTTCTCTCCTTGCGTGCACCAAAACATTTTAACTTGTGTCAAATTACCCAAACATTGTCACGCAATAATAAAGCTTGCCACGTTCGCGCAATTTGGCGCTATCTCGCGAAAAAGGAGCACCAAAATATCCAGCAGATCGTAGATAACAAACCCAAGAATAAATTACAGATTATTTAAGTTAGTACAGAATGGCAGATTATCAGACGTGTTTCAACCCCGAATGCCAAGGTCAGCCAGCTGGACATGATGACGCAGAAATAAACTCTCCCTCTATTGACATCAAATCTGGGTCATGTGAGGTGGATGACACTAATGATGCTCACACTCTGATTGGTGAGTCACATCAAGAATTACTTTTATTATCAGAAATGATTTTAGATTTTTCTAGAAAGTATGATATAAGGGCTTGGATTCTCTTTCCTGGACATCACTGTCAGTTGTCTTTCTGCTACTTTCAGCCCTGGATATAACACTAACTCTGGCTTCTGAAAGTCAGCAAATTGACTCCTAAATACGGGGAAGAGGAGGAAACTTCTCAGTTGTTTTTAGCATAAGATATATGTTATGAGTCATTCAAATTCAGCTTAAAAAATTTCAACCTAATATGATAGGTTGATTCTCAATTTCCTTTGTCTTTAAACCCTAATTCATGAATAATTGGCGCTAGGAGACAAAGGAAACAGATAATAAACCTAGATAGAAAAATTTAACCTGAACTTAATTTTGACATGTATCATGTATGCATAATCGTCAAAGAAAAAAGAAATTCAACTGTAAAAGATGCACAGTTTATATTTTTCCATCCTTGGTTTTATAATTATGTATAGCCCCATTGGGAAAATTAATACCCTTTACCACTTGATACCCTTTACGCTTCTGAGACAGCAGTCACCAGAGTATTTAATTCAGGAATAAACACACAAAAACATACCAACACCATTTCCAAAGGTTACATACAACATTTTTTATTACTTGCAAACTTAACCGAAAAACAATAACATTCAAGTTTGACTTGGATATTTTAATGTTGCAATTAAGACCACTCAGTTTAATTAATCATTAATAACTCATTAATATAACACATTATTACTCCTCAAAATATGTCTTGTTTTCTGCATTAAAAAATAATGAAAGCATAGACTCATTGCTTGAGAACATCTAATTGCCAGTATTCTTAGCAGCCACCTTAAATGTTGGATTTTGTTTGCTGCAGGTGAAGTTCAAGGATCTGTGATAGACAGGAAATGTAGCAAAAATAACATCAGTTCTAGGGAAAATAAAATGCAAATTTATTCAGGTACATTTTTTTATCAATACCAATCATGAATTTTACTGAATCAAAATTATACAGTTCAATTTAATTCATAATATAGTAAGATAAGTCTTAAAAGCAATGCCTATAATCCTTACTTGTAGGGGAATTCTGGTGCAAAAGTGACAGGCCAGGTATTATTTTGGGTGCCTTGAATTAGCCAAGGATTTTTTTGGGTATCTTAAACAACGTTATTGGTGTATGGTAGTGCCACATGCCTTCTTCTGTTGGTTTTGATTTAACCTCTTTCAATTATCCCTGTCAATTGAACTCTGGAGCACTGTATCTGGGTGGTCATTGGCTTTGTAGTTAATTGCATGGCTATGATGGGATCGTCCATAAGGATCAGTTAATGAATTAACTACAGGCAACATAACCTAGAATCACACATGTTAATAGGAAGAGGTGACGCCACTTCACTCATTTCATAGTGGGGTCCTTTTTGGTAGAAATGTGCATACAGAACAGAGAATTAATACAGATGTTTAATGCACCTATCCATGTAAAGCCTGAGGGGGGGAAGCTAAATCTATATATTAAAAATAAAAATGATGGTTTATTAACAGATCTACTGGGTGGCTCTCCCCTGTTAACGTACATCAATTACAGTTAAAAGATAAATCATATTAAGTTCTTCACAAACTATGCAATATACAATTAAAAGTAGAAGCAGGATTAACAGAATCGAAATTACAGTAAAACTAACTGATCACTCTCTACTCTGTTATATAAAAAAATTCCTTGCAAGTCTTAAAAAGGTTCTGTAATCTTTACAGGTTCTAATAGTTTCTTGTAGATTGTTAAATAGCTTCCACACATTATCTTGGTAAGTGCCATTTTTGGTTGCGTCCACTAATCTAATTGAATTGCTTGAATTGCTTGCTTGCATAGTTTAAAGCCATTACATGGATTTTGAATCAGTGCTTCAACGTATCCCAGAGTACATCTGATGGGTCACTGAGAAAGGGGAATTACGCTTTTTGACTTTAGACAAAACCACACATCTAATAAGAGAAAACCGAGAGATTGCATCTTCAAATGATTTATTCTGGCCATGGAGAATCTTCGATACATTTTTCAACATTGACCCTGAACCACTGGAAGAAATGTTAAAACAACTGTCCCTACTTTTGCGGCTTCCAGTGGAAAGTGCCCACGAGTACCTCGACGCATGCAAACGGAAATTTGAGAAGTCCTTCTGTGAGAACATGGAGAGGGAAACCTGGAGAAATCATCTGTTGTATAAACTGTGTGGCTGAACTGAACAAAAATGCAAAGCCAATAACGGCACCGCACGTAGTTTCTATTACCCCACAGAGCATATTCATGGTGGCAGGTGAGAATTCCATGGAGGAGTTAAAAAGACAACATCAAGCCTTGAAAACCGCGTTGTTAGTCACACTAGAATTTCGAAACGTATGAAAATATGAATGATAGATAGCAACAGGTGAAAAGAAAATGACTGAGACCGTGCAACTTTTCTTGCTTCAATTTTACGCCAGTGTATTTTTTTTTGTTTTATATAGTGTAGCACCAGGTTCGTACTTGCTGGGTCCCTTGCTGGTCCACTTCTGAAGGTTTTTTGATGAGACTTAAGCAACTAACTCAAAGTATCTAATACTTTCTTAACGTAATTCATTTGTAAATGAGAATTTAGTGAATTGTTAAGGAGTCGTTAAAGTAATTATTATTGTCTGTTAAATTAGGTGAGGATCCTGAATTGGCCAAGCTCAGCCGAAAAGCAACAACATTTCATGAAATCTAAAATGGAAAATATTAGCAGTTATCCAGATAAGGAAACTGAACATCTTCAGGCCACTTGGCGAGAAAAAGAAGGTGCTTTTGGACCGAGAAAGTCAAAGCTGAACAACTGGCCAAGTCTCCAAAAATGTGGCACTGCAACAAAACCACCATAACGTGAATAATTGATGTCTCCTGGTCAAGGAAAGAAACGTTTTTAACTAAAGCAGAGTCCCGAAAACTCTTGCAGGATGAGAAGGAGCTGTGAGCAGACTTGAGCAGCAGAAAAAGGAAATGCTGGGCAAAAACCCTTAATGCATGGCTGCTGCCCTCGTGGAAGTAGAACACCATGATGCCAAAAAAGAAGAATGTAAGGAAGCAAATAATAGCTCAGCTCCAAAACGCGAGAAGGCCTTGATGGAGGGAGCTTATACTGAGCTCAAGAAAGCCCACAAGAAGCGGCTGTTAAATCTATCAAGGTTAAGCAACAGCAAGTTGAAATGCGCTTAACTTCAAAAATGCAAGAAGCAGCAGATGAGGATGAGGCTGTCGCTGCCTGAAGGAAACACAGTAACTTCACTGTACACCGTATAAATAACATAGCTAGTACAAACTTTTGACTCCTTTTTTTACACGTCAACCTTTTTTCCTTTTCCCCTAAAAACCCAAAACGCCTTTGTTGCATTATCATAATTAACTTCCCTTTTTGTTCACAACACTGGCATATATATAGGTATACACCTACGACCAAAACAACAAAAGGTAAATTCCAGTCTTCAGCAGACCATTTCAGCAAATCTTCACTGACAAAGCCAATTCACAGCATAGCACAGCTGAATCTAAAAAGAAAAATGTATCTAAGGAGTTTCTGTGTCATATCATGCTCCCTTGAAGTCTTGTGTCCTTAATTTTCCTACTGGTTGCATAGTTTAAAGCCATTACGTATATCATTTTTGTGCTTGGTAATGCTGAGATATTGTAAATAGAGAGTTTAAAAGAAGGAATCAATAACATTGGGGTACTGGGTACTATAAAAGTTCATTGATTGATGATGATGATGATGATGAAGTTTATGGTTGTGTTGCTCTGTTGTTGGTGATCTATCTCTCCTGTCACGCAACGGACATTTATAATTCTTCAGGTTGACAACCATAACGCAAACGACTATAGGCCTATTCCTTTGCTGTCTAACTTAAATAGGATCCTGGAAAAATTGGTCTTCTCTAGAATGGAATCTTTCATTTTCTCTTCCTCCGTCCCAATATGGATTCTGCAAAGTGCATTCAACTCAGCATGCAATTCTTGACATTATAAATACCACTCAGGAAAACATGGGAAAATGGTTGTTCTCATGTGGTGTATTTATCATTTGGGCATAGCCCAAATGGAGTAATCGAAATGGCTTGTTTTGACGCAAAGTTGCAAGAGGACATGCAATACGTGCTAGGGTAAAAAAGGCAAGAAAACAAGCGAAGGAAGGCCAATGTCTGCCATGTGAACGTCTTGTACAAGGTAAGAGGCATGTGGAAAAGAAAGCACTGCTAGCAGGGTACTTTATCCCAGTTTTATGACCTGAAAAATTAATCTGAATCTTCAGTATTTGTACCTCATCTAAATTTGGAAGGTTGAAGTCCGGGGATGAGATCTGTTTAAAATATTTGTACTATTAACGGGTTTTCATCACAATTAGACTTTGACAGGGTTCGTAGTACTTGTAGATTAAGAACTTCGAGGAGTTTTCCAGGGTATACACAAGATAATCCAGGACCCCAAAGTTGTCAATTTCACATAAATTTTCTTTAGAACAAGTTACTTACAAAGTGAAAGTGTATGTAGAGAAACGTTTTCATAACTTTCTCATTCATTTTTTCTTGATCTCTAATTTGTCATCAATAAGCTTTGGCTCCTCAGCTTTTTCTCTTGCTCTCTTTCTAAGTGCATCAGATTGCGTTACAAGTAGCAGAGAATGTTCACTTTCTGCTTTCTCTGCCAGTTCATCAGTCAAGGTTGTTAAACTCAACCTCATTTTCACATTGTTTCTTCTTCTTTGCAAGGTCTCCAGTGTCTTCTCTCGGTTTCTTTTCCTGTTTCTCTTTTATGTTGTCTTCTTTTTTCCATTAAGAGATGCTAAATGTCTCTGATGTAAGCGTCTAACTCTAGTTAGCAAATTGCTTGGTTAAACGCATTTCAAGCACCCCACCAGCAAAGGAAAGATTGTCGTAGACAATTCTTTGGGCGATGATGCTTTTCTCTTGCAAGTCTTCAACAATTAAATTAGCATTTATGAAAAACCCCCTTTCAACAGTAGCATGACCATGTGATAAACAGAAACATAGCTTGATTACATCAAACAGAAGACCATACTCTTTCTTTGTACCAATTTCCTCATAGAACTTGTCAAGACGTGAGTTCTCAGAATATGGTTCATAAGAATGAAACTTTGAGCCAACAGCTTCATAAAAAAATAATTGTACTGCCATATTACGTCATCACAGTCCTTGGACTTGATTCTCTTAGCATGATCTAGCTTGTTAACTACTCTTTTCAATTTCTCCTTTGACTTGGCTGGATCCTTTGCAATCTGTGAAGGATTAAGGGATGCAAGATTTCTCACTAAAATATACTCGAGGAGTGATGAGGTAGCCTTGCAAAGTGCAGAGTTGCACTGCATTCTAAATTCTAACCTCAGCTATCGTCCCTTTGGCAAGAAGTTTTTCACCTCTATATCAGCTGCATAGCCAATGTCAAACCAATTCCCAGCTTACACTTGATTTGTCAAGGTGAACAGCTACCAGAGCTTGGGGAGTAGAGGAGCTCTTAAGACCAGATTCTTTAATGAATCTTGCCATCAGTGCTTTGATCAGTTGCAAAAGATCACCACAGAGGTGTGGTATCATTGGCTTATCTGTCTGATATCTAACAAGAAATGCCTCAAACTGCTTAGCAACAGACACAAAGAACAAAAGCTTTAACTTTAACAAACGATCCTTACACCCCTGTTGCATTATAAGAAAAGTTGTATGCTTTGGTGCAGATTCCTCCTTGATTAATCCTTCAATGTAAAGCTGAACATAATGAAGGATGTCAATTGCTCTGCTTGCCACATGTGAATCTCCAACCCAATGACAAACACAGAATTTCAAAGGTAAGTGGTTGAACTTGAAAACCTTGTACAGTCATGTCTTGCCGGATAATCTTTATATATTTTGTAACGTTTTGTTAGTTTCACAATAATATGTTTATTAGGTTGCATAATACTGCTGAAGTATTTAAGGCGTGCTTGTAAGGTGTCTCAAGGGGCTATTACACTAATTAAGGTTTGTTAAGCTATGCAAGAGTCATACGAGGCATCTCTTTCAACCCTAGTTTTTTACGCCGTGTCGGTTTTTGAAACAGTGAGCGTCCCTCACACGTCTTTGGAAACTAACAACGCCAGGGACGCTGCTCAACCGAGTGATCTTTCTTCACATACGTCCTTATAAAATGTTGAAACTAGTTTCCCAACTTTTGGACGTCAAATTTGATCAAAAGTTTGCCGCCTTTAAGCGCGATCTCGAGGACAAAGAAGCTGCCACGCAATCGCAGCTTAAGAAGCTGAAAAACAAATCGAAAGCTTCAAACTCCTTTACTTTCAAGGGAAACAAAGTACAGTACGAACTTAACATCTCTGCATGGCTTAGCGGACAGTGCCATTAAGAACATCTCAAAAGGAAACCTTTCAGCAGCGATTTGTGAACTTGAATCGGTAAAGACACTTATTACAAAACGAAACAAGCTTATTCATTTTGGGGATAAGAGTCCTGCGGGATAGACAGGTGTTAAAGAGTACGAATTGAACAGATGAGTTGGTAGAGGATTCTGGGGATGAAAAGAGGCTTTGTTCAGCAGAAAGATGGGCATTGGCCAAGATCCACAAGAAGAAGCATAGGAATTCGTCTGCCTGACCTAGCTATACAAGTACCTGTCAGCCATCGAGTGAAGCTTCTTTTGCTGGGCCTTCCAATACTCTTCCTGTTAATCAGCAGGTTTTTCGTTGGCAGTCCTTTCGCAAGCATCGATCTCAACCTTCGGACAAGTGCTTTAGTTGCAGACAGAGAGCTCATCGGGCAAATTCAACTTCCTGCCCCAGCCGCCTTAGAGGAACCGTTGCAGTCCCTTCAAGCAGCAAGGCCGCAAACTGACCACAAATACAAAGTTACATTACAGAGATTAGAGAAAGATGAGCATAATTTAGTGAATTTGGTTACATGTTTAAATGACTTTGATCCAGTGGAACTTGTCCAGAACTCTGTTGATGCGTCTGATTTATCTATTGATGTAATTAGTCCCGAATATCAGGAGGGAGTTCCTACCGTTAAGGTTAAAGGTAGTCTTAAGCGAAATGTACCCTTTTGGGAGCATATAGGTGCTTCTCGTTTCATTTGCAATACTATTGTCGATGGGTATAAGATCCCCTTTATTTACACTTCACCTGCAGCAAGCTTTGGCAATAATCAATCTGCCATTCAGCATAGTGAATTTGTGGAACAGGCTATTTCTGATCTCTTCATAGCAGGCTCAGTGGTTGAATGTGGGAGTGCCCCTACTGTGGTTAACCCCCTATCTGTTTCCATTCAGCCTAATGGTAAGAAAAGGTTCATATTAGACTTACAATATCCAAATCAATTGTTTAGAAATCCAACATTAAATGCCAGGACGCAAAAACCATACTTTATTCCTTGTCAATTTTTCTCAGCATTGGCTATTTTCCTTTGAAATCAAATCTGGTTATCATCATATTGACATTTTTCCCCCAGACCAAACGTTTTTAGGCTTTTCCTGGTCTAAGGATGGGGTTATTCGATTTTATAAATTTACTGTGCCTGCCACTTTTTGGCCGCCATGTTGCTTTTTCTGTTATTTCGGAGGAAGCCGCGTACTGCCGCGTGAGCTCAAATGTCTGGGATTTTAGGCCATGTAATCCAAAAGGTTCAGAAGATAGCAGAAAAGCTTACTTGTCTTTCCGACTGGTTGTTCCGTTAACACTCAAATTTTCAAACAAACTGAACCTGAGAAGTAAATTCAAGTTGGCAGACAAAGAACTCGTGCGTAACATTTGGATTCTCCTAATCTAGAGAGAATATATTTCTACTTGTACTGAATGACAAGGGGGAAAAGAGTGGTTTACACTCAAAAAGTATAGTTTTTTCTTACATTTTAGCGATGACAGCAAACCACCCTGAATTTCATAGTCGACGAGGGATGGACAACATTTTGACGACCTTATGCATGGCCAGAAGGTTCGTGTGGGAAAATTTCGCTGCTGGTTGGCGTTATTGTCCCATTTTATCGTCGATGCTTAAGGTCCCTAATAGTTCATGTAGACATCCGCTGGAGCCTTCACTGCATCAAGGAAGTAATGGCCTACATTGTCAGGGGAGTTGTTTGACCGAGAAACCACCAGTCATAAAAGTCGTATACTCCAGTCATCTATGCAACCATGAACAGGAAAACCATAGGATTTCAGTTTGTCATACCCATCTGCATGCTGCAGCATTAGGTTTCGATTATATACTGATGTCTTTTCAGTCTGTCCGTGTCACGTAGTGAAATCTCAACCAGTTGTCGTGGGACTCAATGCTCTGTTAATTGAAGACTATATCATACATGCCTGTAAATAATGCCCCGAAATACACTCTGGCCCATCTAGCATTTCCCGAATTTCTGAAGTTAGGGTATCAACATTGTAATCTGGATTCCTCCTCAATAAACCATATATCCTCAGTATGTGTATATTTCAATGTTGTGAAAAGTAGTTAGGAAATGCAATATATCCGCCTATTGAAACCCAGGATAAAAGTGGTATTCTATGAAAACCTCTTTCATATTATCTTCAAGCTCGACATTGTCATCGTTAGCAGTCACCATTTGATTTGGGCATAGACGATACACTTCTTACCTGTTCATTTCCAATTTCCTGCACAAACATACGTATGGAGGAGCATTCTGGACAAAAATGCAATTGGATCACGACCTGTGTTCCATTAGATTGTACCTTGATTCCATTGGATTGTACCTTCGTTTGGATCGTACTTTCATTCTATTGGATCATCCTCCAATTATTTTGTTGCAAGCTTTATTCCATAAGTTTATCCTCTGTAGCATTAGATCGTACATAAAGCCATTTTCTTATGCTACACATTAAACCGTACCTCCCAGGAGACTCCATTTCATTGGATCCCAACTATCTGTCTGTCGTAGTCTGTATGTGGTAAGCAGTTAAGTGAGAGAGCTGAAACCTCAATTTTGTTTTCATGTGTAGACACACAAGTTACAATTACATGACGTATGATTCACAATTTAAGTGCACTTGAAGTAAGGATTGTAGAGATGGCACATTAATTTTTTGGCTAGTCATCAAATGCGAATCAATGAGACTTCAATAGAAAGAAGCTTCTTCAAAGAACAATTAGTGTTTTGAGAACAATTCTCAACGAACTGGAAAGTCCAGCTGGAAGCAGTACTAGTAGTGATGTTGTGAGTGTGCCACCTCTGTCTGGAACATCCGCTCCCTTTTGCACGACAGCAAACACAGATAATTTTAGGTAAGCTCAAGTTAATCTTAAGGAAAATTTAAAGTGCTTTGCTTGCTTGAGATGCTTTGTGTACTTCAGATGCTTTGCTTGCTTGAGGGTGTTTCTAAAACGAAGACCTAAGACCCCCTGGACTAAAATGAAGACCCCTGTGGATTAAACTCTTATGACAGCTAGCCCCCGATTTAGGAGTGTTGTGGAATTTCCTTTGCCCTATTTAATTGTGATGATGAAGTCTATCACTCACCTTTTCTTCAAAAGGTGTTTCCAAGAGTCACTTTACGGGAGAGCAAGAGCTAGCTAGAGACCCGCCATTTTTCAAAGTGGGCTGTGTTGAAAAATTAAGAAAAAAAACAACATTGTTTGATAAACATTGAATGCTCTACTATAATGGGCAAGAATACTTTAAGGCATGAATCCTTCTGTTTCACGTTAACTATAGTCTAGATGTTATCATCATAAGAGAAGAAGAGTCCAAAAACATGGGCACATGGGTATCAGCAAATGGTCATGAAGGGGTGTGCCAACCTAGAAAGAGGAGACTGATGAAATCTCGTAGATTTTTTAGGGGGGTAGCAGTTTTTAAAGGCATAAAGAAAGCGAGTTATATTATTTGTTTGTTTTTTCATTTCTCCTCTCCCGCCTGTTTTTCCCCAGCGATGGTAAAAAAAACAATCTCTTGTGGACTTAGTTTTTATAACCTTTTTGTATAGGACATATACAACATGGAAGAAAAGGCGCAGTCTGAGGACAAATAGTTTTTTCACTGAATATCCAAAAATAAGCCTGGGAGAGCTCCTTCTTCTGATTTATTTCTGGTTGCTTGACGTTACCAGGGAAAAGACTGCCAGAATGATGTCAATGAATGTAAATCTTGTGTGCCAGGGTCTTCTGGCATTTAGAAGATG